AAATAATAATTTCAACTTTGCCACTTAATGATTAGTTTAGTTATCACAATAAAATTATCTGTTTCTGCGTGAAAGATAAAAAAGTTTAAAACACTAAATTTTCATACAATAAAATAATTTATAATGCTATCCAGATAGCAGGCATCCTTACGGCAAACTTTGTATTTTCGTATTCATTTGGTTGGCGTTAAAGGGTTGACTAATTAATCCTTTTTTAAACTTAGTAGAAAAACTAGCATACCAAGCTTCTTTCCTTGATATAACGGCATGCAAAAATTTTAAAAAATAAATTGTACTCTAAACCTTGCTTTTTTTTTTGAGCCGCGATGGCTCAGGGGATAGAGCCTTCCAATTAGGTGAACCGGGTTCGATTTCCAGACAAGGCTGGTCGATACGAATTCCTCAATGGATCATAGGTTAGAGTCCCCTTGTCGTCAGGCTAACCGTGGGAGGCTCTCCTGGTCTCCCTCTCCATGTAACGCAAATGCGGGTTAGTTCCATCAAAAAATCTTCAACGAAAGCAAATTTCTCCCAATACTTGATCCAGAAGTTCCCTTGTCTTCTAGTTTGAGTTCAAAATTACAAGGCTACTGAGTTGAACTTTAGTAGTCGTAATCCCACAAGCATTGGGTCGGCTGTTCAACGACGGTCATAAAATAAAATAAAATAAAATCTAGTTTTTGTCTTTTTTTCATTCTAGCTATGCCCGGGCTCTCGAATTCAACATTTATTTTCTGTTCGGGCCAACTTTCACTTTTGAAGTGTTAAAGAAGTTACATAAACGCCTTTTTAAATAAGCCTTGTTTCAGTGATGGCCTTAAAATCTAAAATAAACCTTGAGAAGGTGAACTTTTTGAAAACACTTTCTACTCTTGATTGGCGATAGATGATTCATCCTCAGTTTCAGTAAGTGTTTCTAGCCTTATTTTGTAGAGGCAGATTCAATCGCGATATGAAAGGGTTGTTCATGTTAACATTGTTCAAGTTGTTGTTAACATTGCTTCAAGGCTGCATGGTTTACTCGCAAAACAATTTTAAAGATAGTTGGGCTCTGTAATAAAGGTTTATGTTGACAATAAAATCAACCTTAGAATGCTATCTGGATGAATATTGTCGGACAATAAGAAACCTTATCGCAAACGTTGTATTTTCTTAAACCTTCTGCAAATCGTTGAAGTTTCTTATAACTATAAGAACAATAAGAGTGACTGGTTGATTATAAGAGACTGGTAGCTATCTGGGTTATGATCAATACTTATTGACTACTAAAATTAGTTTAAACTGTATAATTAATGATAAGTTTATTAATCATAGTATATTATATTACTGCAGTTCATAGTTATTCCAAATCAAATAATTTGGAATTCTAAAAAATAAATTTTAAAAATATTCAACTATATTTGAACTAAAAATTCATATAAACGCGTTTAGTCCAAGCATTTAATAAAATATTTATACCCATACTTAGCTGAAAAAGTGGGCATTAACATTTTTATATTGATGTGACAACTCTTTGAAGACCTTTATCACATATATGCGATTCTCCCTTCATAGCCTATGATATTATATATGAAACTGGGCTTTTTCACTGCAATGCACAGTGGGCAGAAGACCATGATCTTTGGCCAAAAGTCAAAATTAAATTTTCAACTAAAATATGTGTAGGCAGTTTTAATATCGCCCAAATTAAGTATTCATAATCATTCCGAACATTACAATTTACTTTTTTGGACCGACAAGAGTACAATGTAGTGAATAATATGTTAAAATTTTTATTTTAAATTTAACTTTTAAATTTATATTTCAGAAATATACGAGTATATAGGAATTTCACCTTACTGTTGCATTTTTATCAGAGTAATTAGTCTGAAATTATAGTAAAATTTTTCAATTTATTGGATTAGTTAATAATCTTGACAAACTTATAGTTTATATCTTATCATTTGACATTTTACAATGTTGGAATCACTTTCGAAACTTATCTACAAAAGTTCCACAAGGTAATTAGCTGAATTTTTTTTGTAGTCTTCTTTGATGTTTCTTCTTTCGAGAAAACCTGCCCCATTTTGCCCATATTGCAAAGGTGAACTAAATATACCGAAAAACGAAAATTATGCTTCTTTTTCATGCTTTCGCGTTATTTTGAAATTAATTCTCGCTATTTTGTAATATTACTTTGGAAATATAATTTGCTTTTCATTTTTAATATGAAATTAAGAAAATTACTATATTTTCTTTGCTATATTTAATTATTTAAACATACTATATTATTTTTTTTTATTTTTGCTCGCCATATTTCACTCACCATTTTGTTTTTTTGTTTTTTTAATTTTTAGTGTATTTCAAAGTTTCAACTATGAATTCAATTTACCTTGCACATAAAAACCCCCAAATTTTGAAACAAATTTTATCGAAATACTAATTTTGGCCACGAAACCTTGGATGCTGGCCCACTGTGCAATGGCCTAAAATCTCCTTGCAGTACTCCCATATACGTACTCTTTAATACGCGTAAGTACTCTCTAGTACGTATAAACTCGGCCGCCTGTCCGACTAGACAAAATAGAACATAGATACATGATTCAGATGGGAATGAAAACATTTGTATTTTTTGAGTATATGCAACTCATATTAATTTCCTACCTCTTCAAAATATATTCCAGGAATTGAATACCAGAGTCACAAATCCTTATTTTTTTTTTTTTTTTTCCCGAAGTGGGAACGTTTGCACCAGATGTGATAATTAGAGGAAGCAAGTTTAAGGTTATGCGAAATTGTTATATGCAGAATTTAAAGAAGGTTTTAAATATACGAATCTTAAGATGGATTTATATGATTTCGCAGAAAATTGTCCCAGGAGTTTCAAATCAAATTGAAACTATCTTCAAAATTTATCTATTTTGTCACATACTAACAATGTAAATTATAATTTTCTCCAATTGCTACTATCTACAGTGTTGGTCAAAACTACAAAACGTGTCGCGATACTTATTTACGCAAAACATAACTTTATCTTTATAATTATTAAATGAGTGTTAAAGATTAAGTTTACTCGAATTAATTCAGAGGACTATCTCAAGAGGACTATCTTAACTGAAGAAAATAGACAAAATATTTTACGAAGAAAATATTACTTTTTAATAAAATGGCGTGACTGTTTTTAAAGAACATCTGAAAAAATCCATAAACTCTTAAAAAAGCATTATATTGAAAAAAATTTATTTTCTACATCTAGATTTTAAAAAAATGTTTGTTTGAAACAAACATAAGAGGAATAAAAAAAAATTGAATTATTTGAGCTTTAAAACCTCATGATTCCTAAAAAAAGATATATTTTTTAGATATTTTTGTTTCATTGTACCATTTGGACCATGCGCGATTAAACCTATATTTAGTTTTCTAACATAGCACGGCAAATTTGTAAAATTAAAATATTAATTCAGAAGCTCTTAAGGAATAATTACAAAAATTTATTTATTTAAGCTATTGTAAATGCTTATTTTTTTCAAACTTTATTCATAACAAAACCAGTTAAGATTATGCTATAGTGAAAAGTACATTTTTCAAGTAAGTCTTATGAATTTCAGCTGTGAATTCTGAACGAAAAATGCAAACCACACATACATTTTTATGGGCACTCATCGAAATAATCCGTGAAGCGAAATCCAGCAAGCAAGCGTAGTGGATTTTATTACAATCAATGTCTCAACTATTTTATTTGTTATTACAAAAAATAAAATTGAGGAAAGTACTAAATGTTCATTTTTTGTTCCTGCTTTAACTTTAATTATATCTAGTGATGTCTACTTGAAAAGATTGTTTTTATTGTTAAGAAAGTAAAAAAATTGAAAGCAAAAGGGTTATATGATGGCATCTTTTTTGTCTACTTTCCTAAATGGCTGTATACTGTGATAAAAGAAAGGTGTTCCCTAAAGACCGCCTTAAATATGTATTTTTAAAATCGTTATCAAAACGAAAATGAAGAAATTATACTCATTTGTGTCACAAATTAATGTTTCACCATCGAAAAGGAAAAACAATATTCGATGTATTACAATAGAGGAAGGAAGATATGATAAACATCAAAGCAGGTTCAACTTTTGGTTGCAGTTTGAAAACAGGTTATAATTTGAAACTTGAAGATATAACTAATAATCATCTTCTCTATGTGTAATCCAACTATCAAACCTCTCTTGTTTAATAATTCCGCCTTCCTCTACAATGATTTGTCAAAATTCGAAATTTTAAATTTTGTTACAAATTAATAAATATTAATTTGCAACCCTTAAAGTATATACTTTGTTTTTATTTTTGATAAGAATTCGAAAGAAAAATGCATATTAAGAACAGTCTTAAAGGAAAACCCTATATAACTGCATTTGAAGCTGAAATAGTCAAAGAATAGCATTTATAAAGTGATAGATAACAAAAGAAAATTCTCATTTTGTTTAAAATAGTGCGCTATAATTTTCTTTTTTTTTAGTAAATAGTTATTTTTGATCTGATAGTTAACAAAAATAAATATTCACTTTTTTTAAACATTCATGCACAATCAATCTTTTAGAAAAGGGAGATTTTTATTCAGATAAAGGGAAATATTCACGTTAATTAAGCAATCGTGCATTATCAATTGTTTAGTAAAATGACATTTTTGAATGGATATTAATGGGATGAATAGTTAACATTATAAAAAGAGAGTTTTTAATGGGATTTAAAAATTCTCTATTTTTTTCGAAGTAAAATAAAACAATACATTTACAATATTTGTATTTATGTGTTTTAGTCAAACATCACAAAGAAAAGAATAGTTTACTTCAAGGAAAAATAATTTTCAACGCATATAAACTACAAGATTTTATCTAAATAAAACTTAAAACTATTGTGTTGTTATTTGATATTCAAAAAAGATTTTACTGTCATTTAAATTGTTTGCAAAAATTCTTATTGAGAAATATTTGTGAATAAATTAAATTTATTTAATTTTCCTTTTTCCTTTTCAGTGCAATTTTTAGACATGGGAAAAAGAAGCGGTAAGTAGTTTTTGTTTAAATCGTTCAATTATTCATTTAAAATAATTTTCTAACTAAATGTTTTTCTTGCTTCCAATAAACGCTTAGTGCAAGCCAAAAATTAGGAACATAATTTTTTATCTTTGAATTGTTATTCTAGGACATTTGAAATCACGTAAAAAGTTCTTTTTAGAGCTTCGTTACTATAATCTAATAAGGGCAAGAATATTCTACATTTATGATTTATGAGCTACATATTCACTTGAAGAAATCAATAAGGAATAAACTATCTAGTAGAAAAATATAAAATATTCGTACTTTCTGGTTGTCAGGAATTTGAAGCTTTTTTCTTCATGAACATTTTTTTGGCAAAAATTATTATTTTATTTTTAAAAATAAGTTATGATAACCTGCATCTAACGTAGAGTATCTTTTCTTATTGTCTCGATAAATTATTTTTTCAAATTTAAAAAAAATAAATTTTCAATTTTTTTTTAAAAATATTCTACTTAGTAAAAAATAGGTACTCAAATCGTAAGAGTTAACCTAAAGGAAATAAAATGAGTACTGTTCAATTTTTAATTGCTGAAAGTTCTTTTTTTCATTTTATTTATTTAATTTTTTTATTTGTTCAAAATTTTCGAAATTCGCGTATTTGCTTTCCTTCTGCAAGAGTTTCCAAAACAAAATCTGTGTTTGGTTAAAGTTCACAAAGTGGAAAACAATCTTCAATGTCATAAAGTTGAGAACATTGAATGTTGAAATATATTTTTATAAGATAATAAAAGTTGTCAACAGTGAGCCAATAAAGAAAAGCTATCTAGAAATTCCAACAAGACCGAAATTTTATCTCAATATTTTCATTGGCTCTATCACTGCTGCTTTTCGGACACACCCTATTTCAGTGTTTGGGAATGATGTCTTTTATTTTCTATTTTATTTTTTGAAGAGTATTTTTTCTGTTTTTATAGCCACGGTTTGCAATAAAATCCTTTCGAGTATGAAACAATCTACTCTCGGTTCGTTATAAATATTTTACCGTTTTATGGTTTACAACGCACTTACAATAACTCAAATATTTTTGATTCAATTAAATCAGTGTTTCCCAAACTTATGTCACCTGTGTACCCTTTCTAAATTTTTCGTAACGCTGTGTGCCACTAAGAAAATGAATGTAATTTTTACTGTTAAAAAAATGCTCAAAAGTTAAAAATCACAACTGGCTGTTGACACCCCTAATTATTAACTGTTGACTTTGCAAAAAATAGCCAATAGAAAAATACGTAATCGTAAATTTTCATGGCTAGCTTTGTTTTTAAATAAAATTTTGTGAAATTTTCGTTTGTTGCAAGATATTTCGCAAAAGAACGCGTACCCCCGCTAAACTGTTCCTGTAGCCCTGGGGGTACGCGTGCCACACTTTGGGAAACACTGAATTAAATAGTCGCAAGGGCAATTTTTTGCTTTATAAAAATATAACAATAATTTATTTTCTTAAAATATTCATTGAACATCTGCTGCATTTGAATTCAAATAAAACGTTTAAGATCAAAAACAAATCAATACATTCCATTCGTTTAAAATATTTTAAGATAAATAAGCAAAAAGGGGAAATTAAAATTGCCTATCTTCTGACGAAACTATAGGGACCATATTTTTCAAATTTCAATTTTTTGTACCACTGAAATTGAAAATTTGTATTTTATGATGCGTCATTGCGGCGGCCACTATATAAAGCTTCCTAACTCTCCCTGGATTGGCATGTGCAACTATGGAGATTAGAGCATCCTGCTATGAACCCGGAGATCCTAGATTCGAATCCTGCCGGCAACCAACGACATCTCTCGCCTATTCATTTTGCTCAAAAATGAGTATGCTGTTTCAATTTTAAATATATGGGGTTTTCAAATTCAATTATTATTTATTTTGACACATTTTTCACGCATTTATTTTAACATATATTTTCTCAACTTTAAAAAACTCTTTTTTTTTCACAGTGTATTGCAGATTTTTTTAATACACCAATTTTTGCGAAAATAAAACATTTAAAAAAATTCAAATTCCCAAGCATCATTGAAATTTGTTTACGTCAGGAAATCCTAAAAAATGAAATATTCCTATTTAATTCTGTAAAAAATGTTTAGTTATATATTTTAAAATTTAAGTCTATTTTTCAGGATTTTTCCGAGTTCTTAATACAAGTTCTTAGCTCTTAAATGAATAAAATTTTTTCATGTGTTCACATTTTAGACTTCGATATACTTAGGGTAATTATGCAATGAGGCAGGATCACTTAGGAATGCGTTGCGGGGTCCTTTTTTTTCGTCATTATGCAATAATTTGTTGCAATTTTATCATTTGAAACAATTTTTCATTATCTGAAACTTCATGGTTAATTTAGGTTCACCAGAATTAACTTTCCACTAAATTTTAAGTTTTGAAATGCTTACATAGGTGATACAGAATTTGACATGATACGTTTCTCCCATGATATAGTATCGTCTTAAGAATTGCCCCCTTTTAACGCTTTCGTCAAATTAGTATGTATTTTTATAGAAAATTAATATTTTGAGGCAATATATATAAAAATTATTTTCAAACATATGAAAAGTGGCGTATTTGAAAGGACTAGTTTAAGTATTTCTTTGGATTGTACTTAATAAAATTGGAATACCAGAATCATTTTTAACTCGTTAAAACGTAGAAAAATGACAGATAAGTTTTTATCAAGGAAAACTTTATAAATAGAAGTTTCTATCACTAAAAAAGAAAAAAATATTAAATATATTCGAGAAATTTGCTCCGACAAAAAGTACTTTCAAGAAATCTTACCGGCTGTCATATTTTTCGAAAATTGATGGGCAGCTTTAGCGCCATCTGTTGTTGTACGAGTAAACTGATTAAGGCATGGGAAGTTCTATTTTAATGTTTCTTAAGAAAGGGAGCATAAATTTATCATGAAAATTCGAATCTTGTCAAGAATATTTTAAAGACCAAAAGAAAAATAAATCATTGAACAAGGAAATTTTCATACTAAGCTTCAATTTATTTTTTACTGATTTATCTTTTACAAGAACACCAAAGTTTGTGATTATATTATGGGCCTTTTTGTATTTATTTTTAATATTACATAAAGATTATGTTTTCATATTTTTAATATATAAAGATTGTTTTCGTATTTTAAATGTTACATTAAGATAATAAAAACGATTTTTTATTTTGTCATAATGCATTTTTACTTGTTTATGAACATATGCTTGTTTCTAAAATATTTTTTATTCTGATGTTTTTTTTAATATGAAAATTGAGTGGTTTTTAAAATAGGAAATGTACCAGCATTTTTGTTATTAACTTTCTTTTAAAAAAGAAATCCATCTTGATTCATATTTATTACTTTAAATCTGTAATTGTCGAAGATTATTTAATATTAAAATGTCCTGACCTTGACCAACTAAAATGTCCTGACCGAGTTATCTTATTAAAGAAATATATTATTATTTTATTAAAGAAAATTGTACTTATGCATGTTTGTATGTTAAAAAATAGCAAAAAAAAACTGGTTTTATTTTAATTCATGAAATTTAAGAAAAACTGTTTAAAAATAATCATTTATGCATGTTTCCGATGTGAATCTCCTCCAGAATTGCTTTCTCTATGTTTTCATTCTTTGTATAAAAGTTTCGTGATAAAAGAACAGAGAAAATGCACACGCTTAAAAAAATAAACATTTAAGTTTTCAAAATAATTTTAGTCATTTAAATTGTTTTTCAATAGCTTTATATCTTATTTAATTTTTCGAAATAAAGCAGAACACCTTTTGTTTAAATTCTGTTTAAATTCTAAGTCCATTTTTGAAAGTTTTTTTAGGTATGCAAAAATATCTCCCTACCAGACATTCAAAATTTTTAAAATAATAAACATTTAGTGAAAACTAACAAATATCTAATTCATACAAATTATAAAGACAATTTTTATAAGAGTTTGAAAGTTCCTTTAAAAAAATCTGTAATCTGGTTAAGAGAAACAAATTTTTAACACATAAAATAAAGAAAGATGACGTAAGGGCCTTAGTGTAAGACCTGAAAAAAATGACAGGTTTTGGTCAGAAAAATGACCGTGATATCCACGTATATTCCATTCAGTATATATATATATATAT